GGTATTTTGTTTTTGCTGACTTCCGTAGTTTTTTGTAAATTGTCCTCCAAAGTTGTCTCAAATTAAAGTCTTGAAAAGTGTCACGGCAGGCATTCACTCGAGTAAAATTTAATTTCCGTAAAACTCTGAAAAATAAAACAGATCCGATCAAACGGATTGTGGTTTTATTATACGTACACAAGAACACAACACACAAGAAATGAGCGAAATCTGTGTCTAAAGCAAAATCGACGGGACCGCTCTTACAGACTTACTTACTTACTGCCCATCATGCCTGTGTGGCACATAGGGCAGCAACGAATTCCTTCCAACCCCGCCTATCCTTAGCAAGTTTTTCAATGGTGCTTTAGCTGTAATTGAGCCCCCTGAATCCCTTCTCTACAGTCCTGCGCCAAGTCCTACTCACTGGGACTGTTGCCATGTCGTGGCTGAGTGGCTCGTGCGTCCCAGTGACTCCAAGAACTATGCCGGCGGGGGTGTCAGTTTACACCCCTGGTAGGGCCTCCCAGGCTGAGGTCGCACTAAGTAGTTATAACAAGCGAAAGCATTCTCAAAGGGCTCTTTCAATTATTGTACAAAATTCACTTTAAAAAAGAATTCATTTTAAAAAGTCATTAACAAATTTTGAGCTGAAGGCCCCTAATTTGTGTCTCTAGACAAGCTTGACCTTGACACAAAGAACTAAACAAATATTTGCACCTGAGAGCTGGTTAGGTCACTCTAAGATAACCAAAAAGACCAAAACTCTAAAAGAAACCCAAGTTCCGGTTAGGACTCCATTTTTTTAGGTTCTATCTAGGATCCTAAACTAATGAACAACGCATTTCCACCACTTGTTTGCACTCCATTTACAATTTATCTATCCTTGACACGTTTAAAGATTGACAACAATAGCGAAATCCTGATTGAGTTATTGAGAAAATCTAATGCTAAATTAAAGGTTATGGGAAACAATTATGCCAGTCTCGGCTGCACTTATCAAGGTCTAGGACAGTTCAAAACAGCAATCGGGTATCATCAACGTCATCTAGAAATTGCTAAAGAAGTGGGAGAGAAGGCCGGAGAGGGAGAAAGTTATGCCAATCTCGGCTGCGCTTATCAAGGTCTAGGACAGTTTAAAACAGCAATCGGCTACCATCAACGTCATCTAGAAATTGCTAAAGAAGTGGGAGACAAGCCCGGAGAGGGAAAAAGTTATGCCAATCTCGGCTGCGCTTATTGCAGACTAGGACAGTTCAAAACAGCAATCGGCTACCATCAACGTCATCTAGAAATTGCTAAAGAAGTGCGAGACAAGGCCGGAGAGGGAACANCAAGGCTCTTCTTGCCGCAGAAAAAGGACGTGCTCAATCTCTGAGGGATCTCATCGACACAAGATATCAGCCTGGTGATTTTTTAACGAACAGCACCTCATGCGTTTCTCTGAGTTGTGTTCCATCGAGCACAGTTTTCATGGCTATAAATGGTCCTTGCGTTTACTTCTGGGTAATCCTCAGCAACGATAATATCCAGATGAGAAAGGTACATGTAAATAATTTCAAGTATGAGGATGATTTGGAATTTTTTATCGAGCACCTGAATACAATCGCCCTGGAGGAGATTGGTACAAGAGAAGCTGTTAAATGCAAAGATCCTTTGCTTGATCCGCCGAAACGGGAGGAAGTGGCGGACGACGTAATCCCAATTAATGTGTGGTACTCGAAATCCAGGGCTGTACAGAAGCTTTATGAAATCATCTTTACCCCCATTGCTGATTTGATCGAAGGTAAAGAGCTTACATTTGTTCCTGAGGGGCCATTTTGCCTTGTACCTTATCCAGCATTGGAGGACTCGAATTCAACATATCTAAGTGATTCTTTCAGAATTCGTGTGCTTCCGTCCTTAACGACCTTGCAATTGATTCATGATTGCCCAGCTCAATTCCATAGGACGACTGGTGCATTGCTTGTTGGAGACCCATGTTTCAAAGATATTATCTATCAGGGAAAAAGCTTGCTGCAACTTCCAGGAGCACGGAGAGAAGTGGAGATGATCGGACGTATCCTCAATATCACCCCTCTCACTGGAGAAATGGCAACTAAAGATGAAGTGTTAAAACGACTGTCATCGGTGGCTTTAGTACACATTGCAGCGCATGGTAAAATGGAAACTGGAGAAGTTTTTCTGGGAGCAAACACCAGAAGAGAAAACTCACGACCTCAAGAGGAAGACTACCTTATGACGATGAAAGATGTGCTAGAATCTGGGCTGCGAGCACGACTAGTTGTATTAAGTTGCTGTCACACTGCACGCGGGGAGGTTATGGCTGAGGGTGTGGTAGGCATGGCGCGAGCACTTTTGGGTGCTGGTGCTAGATCTATTGTGGTAACCTTGTGGGCCATTGACGACGAGGGAACCCCGGAGTTCATGAGTTTCTTTTACGGTGCGCTAGCTAAAGGAAAGAAGACAAGTGAAGCTCTCAATCACGCCATGAAGTGTATGAGAGAAATTGAAAAGTTCAAGGAGGTGAAGTACTGGGCACCATTTGTACTCATTGGTGATGACGTCAGCCTGGATCTTAACGATATTTAGACGCTGAAGCAAGTAACTAATCTGTTTATAATTTTTACTCAAAAAAGTAGGAAGTGGCTTTAAATCATAATTTATTTTTTATATTTGGGCAGTGATACTATTGCTGTTGTTTTGCTCCTAATCGGGTTAAAAGTTTATCTTTTTGCCCCAGCTATTTGAGATGCGATACAATCGAGTGGACAAACCTAAGATGACGGCAATCTCTAAGAAAGATGATAGGAGCGAAAAAAGGAAATATCTTATATAAAAATCTTGTTGTGCAGTGTATCTTTTCATGTCTTAGGAAAGATGTTATGGCAACTCAACGATCTTCTCTAAATTTAGATTCTTTTATTTAACAGCTGAGGCAGTGAGCATTGGAATCCGGAGAGTTTGTAGTTACCTACAAATGTTGATATTTGGAGCTGAAACCAGTAAGATACTGATGACATCAAGAATCTACTTTGCAAAGCAGGGACAACCAAAAGACGGCCAATGTCAAATTCAACAAGTGCCATTATGGACTTCCATTTACTCAAAAAGTTGAACTGCTTTTACGAGCACGTAGAACTTTGGACACTCAAATGGAGACTTTTAAGTGTTTTGACCTTTTATATCTTGCTCAAACTAATTTCTATACATATTTTTTTTAACGAGAAGGTTTTGAAACTATCACGACTAGCCATACAAAAAGTAATATTTTTTCATCTAACATAAATCATGTAGTTATCTATTAACAGGATTTCGGGCGTAACATTTTACGTCGAAGTTAAAACGTCTTGAAAGGTTGCCAGCGTTTACTTACAGGTCTTTGCTCATGGGTTATGTAAGGCTACTACAGCCATATGCATGTATAAAGAATGTCCATTGAACTTGGAGAGTAATCAGCTGTCCCCATTGCTCGATTATCTTAGTTGATGTCAGAAGGAAATTGTGATGAACGGTTCGAGGATTTTTGCTAGTAATTGCTTAACAAAGTTATTTTAATTTCCGGGAAAATAACAGATTTTGACCTTTGTGGCCACAAGTAAGTCTTGGGGTTAGTTAGATTTCTCCTTTACGTTTGAATGTCATAAATTGTGTTTTTTGTTGATGCATTTCACTGTATTTTTAGGATACTGTTTGAACTAATCGTTCGAAGGCAAAACGAGAGTTTTTTTCCTAAATTTTGTTACCAATCAGCTTCAAAATTGCGTATCCTACAAAGTATCGAAAGAAACTCAGATATTGCGAGGAAGTAGGAGCCAAATGGTTTCATTTACTCACTTTATTGGATTGTTTACAGGTAGAAACTTGTAAGGGGTCCCACAAACAGTGCTGATCAGTCTCAAACGCGCTGCTTGCAGGATTACTGAAGCGATCGTGGGCTCTTGAAATAACGTAAATAAAAGCAGAAATATGATGGTTAAGAGGCCAACTCTGATGTAGCTTTGTAGGTTTATCAGCTCGACGTTTCGAACGTCTCGGTCTTCCTCAGGAGCATACTAATTACATGAGCAATATTCAAATTTAAAATTCGTGTCAACAGTAAACATGTCATGACGTAATATAAAAATAGAAAAGATAACAGTGAAGCGTGTAATAGGGACTAAAATAGATAAATTAAAATGGTTATAACTCATGTGGTAAGCTTATTGATAGTAGGATTGAGTCTTAAAATGTAATAATTTTCCATTGCTTTTCTGATTTCTTGATTTTGACTTCTAACTTTTTCAATAATAAGTTTTCCGGCCGGCAAACCCGTGGTAAAAGCACAGCGGGCACTTCTGAGGTTCCTCACTTGAAATTTCAGCCGGCAGCGTAATTTCTTAGCTTTGGAAGACCTCATCGTATTTTTGCGTGACAAACCGATTCGTAAGAGAGGGGGTAGACCACGGGGGAAAGCTTTAGCTACAAAAACACGAAATCAGGGGGGAGGTCACGAAGGCCCTTAGCAACGATTAATTAATTGATGAAAATGAAAACTAAGAAAATCAGAGTGTGATCGTTGTTTAGATATCTCGTCTCGATTAGCTTAGATTTCGATAATTTTATTTCTCCGGTTACCAAATACGGACTTCTGTGTATGCTGTACGAGACAATTCTCGTTTCATTCCTACCAGATTACGAAATACATAGCTGGTGGCAACTTACAGAAAGAATTAGGAATTATGCCTTGGGGATTACAGAGTGTACAGTTCTAAATCACGTCAGTTAGCTGCGCTGATTGAGTGATTGTAGATTCGAAGAAAACAGACAAATATTCTTAAGCCTTTGAGCCCACAGGAGTGACTAGCCTTTAATTTCTCCTTACAATATCAGCCCTGAATCACACATTAAGGTCAGGAGAATAAAGAGAATGATCGCCAACAAAAGAAGCTCTTGATTGTGAAACAAATTCTCCTTGTCAGCACCGTAGAAAATGTATGGAGAACAACATGGAGAACATACGTGCTGATGTTAGGGTGCAAAGTGTTAATGGAACAGACATGTTCAAGGCATAACTTTTAAAAAAGGAGCTGAATTGCAGACACTGGGTTGGTTTGACTGGACGCGGTTTTAACAAGGATGGTTTTGAAGTGTTTGTGTTTCGTGTTTTCACCAAAAGACCAAGCTACAGAAGATGCATGCTCAGATGCAACAAGCATCTCAGTATGAGACAACTGGAGCTGGCCCAGTCTACAAACATCGATAATTTATTGAGTGGATTAATCATTTGGGTTTTTTTCGTCAGCTTACAGAGGGATTCCATCAGGAAAAATAATACTTTACACAAAAGCTTTTTTAATCGAATAACAAAGATGGTAAGTTTTGAGCTCGGTAAAGAAATAGAGCACAATATTTCTTTTGTCTTGTCACGAGTGTAGGACAACAAAATAATCTGAACCTCGGACTTTCGGATTCCGCGCTCCTGTGCTCAGTCATTGAGCCACAGAGACTCATGAAAATATCGACACGCGATAATTTTTAGGAATTGATTGTAATTGTCCTTTCTACTTTTAGATCACAGATCTGGAAGAGAAAGAATTGCAGCTTCGTCTTCTTACTCACAAGTTGTCTGTCATATCATCACTAATCCATATTAATGACCTTTACTTTATTTCTTTTCATTTCAGTTCACTTCATTTCTCTTGATTTCTATTCATACTGATGACTTACTGAATGCCATCTGATTCTTTCCTTTTTCCTTTTTGCATAGAAAACTTGGATAGAGATCAACGAAGAAATCTTTTCATGCGAGAGCAATACAAGAAGGTATTTTGAGTCTGAATTTCCCCTTCCCCCACCTCTACCCCCCTCTTTTCGTTCTTCTTACCCCACGCAAGCAGTACGAGTGAAGAGAAGAGAAGAAGCTGCAACCCACAGGATCAATCCTAGAGCAAACGATTAGATCAATAAACACTACCTATTTTTTTTCTATCACTCAGTTTCTCTCTCGTTTTCTACCTCTGGAGACTAACGTAACGATTAGAATTTTGATTGACTTTTATTTAATTTTCCTAACCCCTAAAGTAAATGATGCTGCGACTAGATCATGAACGAAACTTGAAACTCGATGCTTTTGAACGCGTTGAAGATCAACTGAGACAGATTCATCGCATTTTCTTGTTTCCTTTTTATAACACGGCGTTTTAAAGACGTTATGATGTACACCAGGTGATTTTCTTTTTTTTTTTTTTATGGCACGGAGACAAAAAACATTCTATTTGAAAAGAAGTCCCTGAAGCCAATATTGTCGCTATTTTTGACGGGCAAGACTATCCTCCATAAAAATCGCTACCCTCCGCATTCTAAATTGAATTTACTGAATGGTCAGTTTGAAGTACAGAAATAGGACGTCTGAACGTCTTATCGAAACTCTCAATGCCATTGCAAGTTTGGGGTTCATCACGTATTATGAAACACTTTTTCTTCCTAACTTATTTCATCCAGTTTTTAGCAAATTTACTTTTGAAAGGTGGGTTGAAACGCTTGCTTTCCGGCTGGATTTTGTCCGCGTCCTTGCTTCTTGAAGGAAATTAGACGATGCCACAGAGCAAAGATGATTAACTTGGCAAGTTGTGAATCGTCCGCGGCTGCGATTTCTAAATTGCAATGAGAACATGTACTTCTCACAGAGCGTCTGTATGTTGTTAAGCAGACAGGTAAAACTGCGATGCAAGGGTTAGCGCGATTTACTCCGAATTTGAAGCATTGGGTGCGAGACAAGGCTAAAGTCATTGCGTTACACTCTAGAGCCAGACATGTCACCTCACACATTTTACTGACAATGTATCTCTCCACCTTGGAATGTAAATGGGTTTGGGCGACTTTTCGGGGACTTGGCAAATTCTTGAATGGGAAGGAGAATAACTAAAGATGGAAACAGTTCTATTATTTCGTCACTGTGGAAACGGAATAATCACTGTAACGCAGCAATGTCAGCCACTTTACCCGTGAGCTCAAACTAAAGAACATGTGTGACAAAATGAAAAATTCTCATTGCTGACGTTAAAGTAACTGCACAAAAATCACAAGACGAACTATTATCCTGGTCACTTTTTACAGGCTCGAGATCCGCATCTCGCTCATACAAAAGCCCCTTTTTCTCTTACCGGACGACGCCGGACACCTACGCCGCGTCTCCGCTGTTCGTTCCATCTGTCCGTCCATCTCAGCCTGTTAATGTGGTGCAGCCGCCTGGAGAAGGTTTCTGGCCACCCCCTGTGATATTTCCGCAGAGACAAGCCACCACACCGGATTCTGGTGAGTAATATATACTCTTAACAATAAGTGATCGTTGAGTTGTGACGACGATAAAACCACAGAGCTCTGGGTTAAAAGCTGCAACAAGACTTTTTTAATGACGAGTTGGGGTTTTTCGAATTACATCGGTGTGTGGTGCCGCGTGGCACGACGGATTATGTGACTTTCTGATCACATGACTACGGTCACACGTGTCACGCCACAGTGATGATCCTTAGTTTCGTTTTGTGTTTGTTTCTTTGTTATTTTCTCTGAATTTTGGAAAGGACAGAAATAACACATTTCACCCTTTAGCTTA